CCACTGAAGAAAGGAAGAGCACTTCAGAAGCTGGAAAGCTCTTCCATGTTCATGGATTGGTAGACTCAATATTACCAAAAGCAATCTACTTGTTCAAAGCAATTGCCATAATAATTCCAATGGCATTCATTACAGAGGTTGAAAAATCCATCCTAAAGTTAATTTAGAAGCACAAAAGACCATAAGTAGTTGAGGCAATACTGAACATAAAAAACATTGCTGGAGATATCACAATACCCAACTTCAAATTATACTAAAGAGCAATAGCAATAAAACTACATGGTGATTACAGAAAAAGAGATATGAATACCAGTGGAACAGAAGACCCAGATATGATCCGGGTAGTTATGCCCACCTGATTTTTGACAAAGGCGCCAAGAATATCTGATGGAAAAAAGATCCTTTTCACAAATGTTGCTGGGAAAACTGGGTATCTGCATGCAGAAAACTGAAACTAGATCCATGTCTTTCACCATGTACAAATATCAACTCTGTGTGGATTAAGGACCCTAATAAAAGACCTAAAACTTTGAAGCTAGTATAGGAAAGGTCAGGAAAACCTCTGGAATCAATATGCATAGGCAATGACTTCCTCAATACAACTCAAATGACTCAGCAACAAAGAAAAAGGATTGAGAAATGGGTCTATGTGAAATTAAAGAGCTTCTACACAACAAAAGAAATGTTCTCTAAATTGAAGAGGCCACCACAGAATGGGAGAAAATCTTTGCCAGCTATACATCTGATAAGGGATTCATAACCAGAATATACAGAGAGCTCAAAAAATAAAACTCAAAAAAAATTGATCACCCAATGACAAAATGGGCAAATAACCCGAACGGAGCTTTTTCAAAGGAAGAAGTACAAATGGCTAAAAAACACATGAAGAAATGCTCAACATCCCTGGCCATAAAGAAAATGCAAATCAAGCCACATAAAAGTTCCACCTCACTCCTGTTAGTGTGGCTATCATCAAGAACACAAACAGGACAAATGTTGGAATAGATGTTAGGGAAAAGGAACCCTCATACACTGTTAGTGTAAATATAAATTAGTACATTCACTATGAAAAACAGTATGAAGTCTCAAAAAATTAAAAATAGCTCTGCCAAATAATCCAGCAATTCCACTCCTAAGGATCTACCCTAAGGAATATAAGTCAGGTTACAGTTAAGGCACCTGCACACCCATGTTATTGCAATATTACTCACAATAGCTAAGGTATGGATATAGCTAAGATTCTTCAGTACTGATGAATAAATTGAGAAAATGTGGTATTTATATGCAATGGAATTTTATTCAGCCACAAGAAGAATGAAATCACATCAGTTACAGGCAAATAGATGGAACTGGAAACCATCAACAAGTAAAGTTTGCCAAGTTCAGAAGGCCACATGTTTTCTCTCAGATGTGGAATATGGACCTAATACAAATATTGCAATATTATGAAAAACAGGTCATGCTAAGTGGAGGTCACATATAAGAAGGGGAGGGTAAAAGAAGGAATTTAAGAAGGTGAATATAGTTGATGTACTCCCTATACAAGAATGAATATATGATTTTTTTAACCTGTTGAAACTACTGTAAGAAAGGGGCCATGGCAGAAAGGAGAATAGAGGAGATGAACCAATTTGAGCAATAATACATAATAATACATATTATTATTTTTTCAAGAATTAATTAATTAATTATATTATTCATACTTGCATACAATGCTTGTGTCATTTCTCCCCACTCCCCTCACACCCACCCTTATCACCCACCCTGCCTCTTTCCTCTCTCTCCCCCCCCAATACTCAGCAGAAACTATTTTGCCCTTATTTCTAATTTTGTTGTAGAGAGAGTATAAGCAATAATAGGAAGGAACAAGGGTTTTTGCTGGTTGAGATAAGGATAGCTACACAGGGCATTGACTCACATTGATTTCCTGTGCGTGTATGTTACCTTCTAGGTTAATTCTTGTTGATCTAACCTTTTCTCTAGTTCCTGGTCCCCTTCTCCTATTGGCCTCAGTTGCTTTTAAGGTATCTGCTTTAGTTTCTTTGCGTTGAGGGCAACAAATGCTAGCTAATTTTTTAAGTGTCTTACCTATTCTCATATCTCCCTTGTGTGCTCTTGCTTTTATCTTGTGATCAAAGTCCAATCCCTTTGTTGTGTTTGCCCTTGCTCTATGTCCGCATATGAGGGAGAACATATGATTTTTGGTCTTTGGGCCAAGCTAACCTCACTCAGAATGATGTTCTCCAATTCCATCCACTTACCAGTGAATGATAACATTTCATTCTTCTTCATGGCTGCATAAAATTCCATTGTGTATAGATACCACATTTTCTTGATCCATTTGTCAGTAGTGGGGCATCTTGGCTGTTTCCATAATTTGGCTATTGTGAATAGTGCTGCAATAAACATGGGTGTGCAGGTGCCTCTGGAGTAACCTGTGTCACAGTCTTTTGGGTATATCCCCAAGAGTGGTATTGCTGGATCAAATGGTAGATCATATATGTTTGCTTAAATTTCTTCTTATTTTATTCTTTTTTGATGTTGTTATAAATAAATTATTTTTGTAATGTCGCTTTCAGGTTATTGATTGAAGCAATACAAAATGCAACTGATTTTTACAATTGTTACAATGTTACATTTGAATGGAATAATAAGATAATACTTGTTGCATAAGCTTTGTGTCCAGGTACATGCTGATGTATATAGACCCACATAGGAGTGCAAGAGCAGAAATACAATAAAAATTAAGAGAAGTTTTATCCAGATTGCATTCCAAGACTCGATTTTTCTTTTTGTGTTTATGTATATAAACATGTATTTAAATCTAAATTGTATTTTCTCATAAGCAGGTTGAAAATAAGATCATTGAATTAATGTTAACTATGCAACTTTCTGACAGTCTTTAGAAAAAATTACATGAATGAAACAAAAAAATTTCATGAAAACAAAATATCACACGGAGCTCTGTTTCATCTAATTGCTCAATTTGTGGCCTCTTAGGCAATTCCTCAATGAAGTTCTCTAGGGCTACCATCCCTGAGGTCTTCATGGCATATATATGTGACAGTTTGATGCTAGAATTCAGCTTTTGCTCTCTTTCTTTCTGTTTGTTATTGCTGAGTTTATTTGGGGGAAGTTTGCTGGGGAAGTTATTTTCCTTAAGTAATCATTGAAATATAGGTGGATTCCTGTTTTTTTTCTTCACACTTGCTGTTATATTAGCAAAAAAGAGAAGATTTTGAATTCCCATAACTAGTCTTCTGAGACTCTATTAATCTTTGTAAAGAAGCTTCAGTAAATGAATAAGGCAAATTCTTCTGTTCTGAGGTGAGTTGATTCTATCCTTACTTTTTTCTCATTAGAAAGGAAATAATGTGCTCCCATAATCTTTGCAGAGGGAAGCTCATGGGAAGATACAGAGTATTGTCTAACTGCTCTGATAAGAACATACCTCTGCTAGGTAGCAATATTTGTTTTCATTTCTTTAACTGTATTTGTTACTATCAACTGGATTACATTACCAGGAACTACTTTTCTTTTCTTGATCATATTATTTTCCTTTTTGTGAACATAAACTTTAGTTTTAATAATGCACAGATATTTATAATGTAGTTTACAATCACATGTATTATTTATTAGATAAATTCTCAGAAGAAACAAAATTTGAAGATAAGGCTTGCATTTTATAATTTTATAATTTCTAAAATGCTTACTATACTGCTGTGTACTTAGCAAATATATAATGAGAAAACTAGGATGAATATCACAAAAAAAGGAAGCAAAAAATGTAGATGCAAGGAACCTTGAGCCATAAGCCAGTGGAACATGAGTGACACTTAGTGAGTATAGATGGGAGATGGTGAACTTTAACCCTCAGTCCCCTAGGGTAAATGCAGAAAACAGGAAGGTTGTAAGTGCTACAAGTGTGGAAAAGATGAGAAGGTAAGAATTAGATGAATCTATATTAGAAAACATTTTTGTCTTCCATGACTGTGAATTCCATTTCAATTTTGCACTCTTCAGAATTTGTTGGAGTAGATTAGAGCAAGAATACAAAATTGGAAAAGTGAGTGTCACTATAGAATCTGGACTAAAAAAATTTTGTGTTAAATTAAAAAGTATATTCAGTTATATATAATTCAGATCAAATTACAGGTATCAAATCAATGGAATACAAAAGAGCACTTGAAAAGGAAAAATTGCAGGGATATGTTAATGACATGTTCACATACATAAAACAATGAGTGTTACACATTGTCATGGAGAATAGAGTTGTAAGGACTCAGTGAAAATTATGGAACATTTAATTTTAGCTCATAAGGAACATAATTCTTAAAGTAGTGTATGTCGAATGGTTTTCTCTTTGTGTGGAGTCCTAGTTAAAGTTTCAGCAACCAATCATAATATGGTTCTGAAAATAAATGGATCAAATTATATGAAAAGATAGTGTAGACATTTTGTAAGAACAAGGGACATAAAGAAATAATCCAGTGCGTCATTTTTCCTGTCACTATTCTCATTTTATATTAACTTTGGTAGCTTAGGTCCCAAGCAATTTCAATAGAGCTGCTTAATTTGTAGAACTCAAGATGTGACTCAGTGAATTGTGAGTTCACTGTGTGGTACTGATTTAATAAATTCTTTGTTATTATTATCTTTTACCCCAATGCATGTATATTATAGGTCTAGAGTTTATTACCTTAAATATTCAAATATTCACTTATTCAATAAATACTACTGAATACCTACTATGTCCTAGTGTTCTATTTTTGCCCTTGTAAATTTAATTTTACTGTGGATAAGACTGATAAAATTATAAATGATAAAAATGGTAAGTTGGTGTTATGTTATATAAGACTGATATTTTTCAGAATTTATACTATAATATGGTTAATGATATTAGCCTGCTTATGGAAAATGAGTCAAGTAGAGAAAATTTTGTTGGAAGGAATTAAGAAACCAGGAAAATAGAACATTGAAAAGACTATGTGACTATTGGAATGAAATTGATGCATAAACTCCCAAAAAAAAAAAAAACTGTAATTCCTCTAAAAGTGATGTCTCCTCTGTAGAGCTTTTGAGGTAGACTAAATGGACCACTTAAAGGGATGTGGAAAGAAGTTTTACAACCTAAAACACGGTCAGAAAATATTGTATTAATTTTGTTTCAAAACCAAATGATCCAAACAAATACCTGAATTGCAGTATACCAAGAAAAGATAATAAAATTTATAATTTTCAAAAATAATGGATTTTTTTATAAGAGAGATCTAGAATATGTGGAAAAAATGTGTCACTTTATGTATGAATATAGCTAGAAACTGAAATTCTGAAATAGTTCAAGAAAAAACAGTAAGAAAGCTAAACTGGTCTTTTTACTGAGTCATTAATTTTCTGATTTGTGCTCTAAGTTCTCACAGTTAAACAGCTGAGGCAGGAAAGAAATTGTCAAAACCTATGATAAGTATTTCCTGCAAGATTAAGCCTTTTGAACACAGAGATTCATATAAAACCTAGACTATCCCTTTCCATGTAGTCAGTTTTCTCTGATGATACAGAATTTAAGTATTTAAATACACCTAGTGTCAAGTGCATTTTTGTTGTTCCCCTCTCAGCTTTTTTTTTTTATTATTCTATTGTTAAAAATTTCTTACTGGCTTCACCACTGTGACATTAGTAAATTTGTGTTCGTGAATTCATGTAACTGTGAAACTATTTTCAATATCACCCTTTTTGAAAAAGCACTAAGCCTCTGAACATTTCATTCTTTTCTGTCTTGTTCAATTACTTCTCTGAGTCAACATCCTTATTTTTTCCTAGGAATCAAAACAACCAGACTTCTGAAGTCACCTTCATCCTTGTGGGCTTTTCTGAATATCCAGACCTCCAGGTGCCCCTCTTCCTGGTGTTCCTGTCCATCTACACAGTCAGCGTGCTGGGGAATTTGGGCATGATTGCCATCATCAGGGTCAATCCCAAACTCCACACCCCCATGTACTTTTTCCTTAGTCACTTGTCCTTTGTGGATTTCTGTTACTCTACTGTAGTAACTCCGAAACTATTAGAAAACTTGATTGTAGAAGATCGAACCCTCTCCTTCACAAGCTGCATCATGCAATTCTTCTTTGCATGTGTATTTGTAGTGACAGAAACCTTCATGTTGGCGGTGATGGCCTATGACCGATTTGTGGCTGTTTGTAAGCCTCTTCACTACACAGTTGCAATGTCACAGAAACTTTGTTCCTTTTTAGTGGGTACATCATACTGTTGGGGATTATTCTGCTCCCTGACACTTACTTGCTTTTTAGTGAAATTGCCCTTCCAAGGAAATAATTTCATAAATAATTTTGTCTGTGAGCATGCTGCTATTGTTGCTGTGTCTTGCTCTGACACCTACATTAGCCAGATGATCATTTTAGTCTCTGCTACGTTTAATGAAATTAGCAGTCTGATGACCATTCTTACTTCCTATGGTTTCATTTTTACCACAATCATGAAGATGCCTTCACCTGGGGGGCGTCATAAAGCCTTCTCTACATGTGCTTCCCACTTGACTGCCATTACCATTTTCCATGGCACAATCCTGTTCCTCTACTGTGTTCCAACCACCAAGAGCTCATGGCTCATGGTCAAAGTTGCCTCTGTCTTCTATACAGTGGTCATTCCCATGTTGAACCCCCTGATCTATAGCTTGAGGAACAAAGATGTGAAAGAGACAGTCTGGAAGTTAATAAAAAACAAATTCCATTGTCACATATCATAACGCTTATAAGTATTGAGCAGAATCGCCCACAATTTAAAATTAATAAATGAAAAAATAATTTAAAAATTCCACTTTAAATAAATGTTCATTTTAAAGCAATTATTGTTCAACAGCTGTTTAACTTGAAGAACAGTGAATAAGCAACACAGCAATAAGCAATAAAGAAATTTTGTATTTATATTAAGCCTCTAATCAGAATTCAGTCTGTAAAGATTTCTGACTTAGCACATGGTAATATTTGGCTGCTGAGTTAAATTTTTTATTCTTTCAGTATAGGCTTATAGAGTTATTTTGATAATTTATAAATTACAATGGTGGAGATACATTAAATTTAATAGAACAATCCAAAACCTGTTTAACACTCAAACACAAAATTTTAAATATTTATTTAATCTCACATAGGAAGCACTAGTTCATTATCAGTGCATCAAGCATATCTCTGCCCCACAAAGTTTAGAATATTATTTTGTTGTAATATTTGTGTTAGTATAAATTTTACTTGATTACTATATATAAAACACCTAAAAATAAAAGTATCCTCACTCTTCAGAAAGTTCTAAGTTTGAATTTTTCATTCATGTCAACCTTGTTCATATATGTTAATTATTCATGTATAACAAGATAAAAATGTAATGTATCACATTAGATAATATTTTTAATTGACTAAGCAGTCCTGTTCATATTAGTCAGAGCATTTAGGTCGCCATGATCTATCAGATCTAATGGCGAACTCATCTCCCTTCTGTAGGTCTGTATAATGTTGGGGCAGCTTGGTTTGTGGGCTCATGATCCTCTTTGAAGCCTTAGGCTGGGTAGAGCACTTTCTTCTAGAGACAATGTTTGTATCACAATGTGATACAAAAATAAAACCTAGATCAAGCCTCCATGTCTGTGTCTTGTTTGTTAACATTTTATTATCCAATGAAAACCACACCTATGAGCCCCAAATAAATAATTAAGGAAGTTTATCTGAACTTTGTAGAACTGAAAATTTATATGGCAAAGTGTATAGACTGAAAAACAAAAGAAGAATTGCACTCAGTATTTAATATGCTTAAGTTAATAAGTTAGCTTTTAGTTAATAAGAAAATGTCTTTCCATATACCAGATGAACATAATCATCTTAGTCTGAAAGAAGTTTTCCATTGATTAATGGGACATTTGATTAGGTTAACTAAATGACTAATCTTTGCTATTGGCTCTTACCGATCATGGTTGATGTTTCATGCTAAAGAGTAATATTGGTAAATTTGTATGTAAATTGGTTGTAATCCAACTGCAACTTTAAACTATAGTCCTGGTTTCTCCTGAAATGTAGCCTTATTATTTCCAAATGAAAAATTGTAATGTTCTCAGGAAAATTTAACAATTTATGTAATCTAACATATTTATCCAATTATTTAGCAATACATTGCAATATTTCAGCAAACCTTGTTATATAACTACAGGATTACATAATGTGTTAACATTCATTAGTCTATCAATTGCCTCTCAATCACACTACAAATGTTCTGTCAAGTACCATATAAATTTAAATAAAATCACTTTAAAAGTAAAAAATGTGAGCATATTTTAAAATAAATAATATTTGTTTCATTTTGTAAAACCTATATTGAAAACTGTAATCTTTATTTAAATATAGATGATAGATACATAGTAAAATATAATTTTGAACTGTAATTAGTTTCCTGTCTTGCAGGAGAAGATAAAACCATACAAATATCTAGATAACTGTACTCCTTTAAAATAGGTTCTTTATTTTGAAAAAAGTTAATGAATAGATATTCAATTACACATATATGATGTGGAAATTCTCCAAGGATTTCAAATTTAAAATTCAAACTTACATATACTCATTTTAAATGATGAAGATGATGAAGTATGATGTGTGTATATTCGAAATAAATGATTTCCATGTGGACTCTATAAGATAATGGAGATGGGCTGTTCATTTCTATGTATGAATTATGGGGTGTTTCTGCTTTCAATTATTGATGGTTTGAATAAGTACAGATTTTGTTTTGTTTCTAAAGGCCTGTGACAAAGCTGTTGGTGAAGATATTCACAAGATTAAAGGGAGAATATGAAGAATCAATAGTCAGTTAGTGGTGGATTATTATGCTTTGTGTATTTACCACATTGTGTAAATGTAAAATTTGACATCACTCTTCATAATTAACCAGACATCAGGGAACTTGCAAATGTTGAGTAGTTGCCTTGTGATATGAGTATTTGGAGGTTTGTGACATTTTTACTGCAGAATTATCTTTCCATTTACCTCTATTTTACCATCCATAGAATTATCCTTTATTTACCATCCTAGAAAATGCCGATAAAAGAGAAGTAAAAAAGATATTTCATGGGAAGAAGAGAAAGAAATTGTGGGGCTTCTATAACAGCATTCTATGCTATCTATTGTTGCCTAGATACATAGTTCACTCAGTTTGAAGAAATATTTGTTGACAAAAACAGTTGCATTTTAAAGAGAAGAATAAAGGGTAATTGAAAGTTTAAGTACAAGTATGAAATCACAAGAAGGAGAATGGGGTAGGAGAAAGAATAATGGAGGGGATGAACCAATTCAGGGTATAATGTACTTATATATGGAAATGTCACAAAAAAACCCCATTATAACGCCATAAACTAACAAAAATGTCTCTTTTAAGAAATAAAGGCCAGGAAGGTTAAGCAGGTCCTGTCTGGGGATGGGTACCAATGAGAGAGGAAGAGCTTAAGGCTTATGGCAAAGGTGAAAGAGGGCAAATATGGTAGAAGTATTTTGTACTCATATATGAAAATAAAATGACACCTGTTGAAATTATTCGTGATTAATATGCACAGCAAACTAGGAAGAGAAGGAATAGAATTGTAAAAGGGACAGCTCATACTTCCTTGTCTTTTGGGTAATGAAGCACAACCAGTTTGTGCTTCAACACAGCCTTAAAACTTCAGTTTGGGAATTTCAGCTAAAGACACAACAGCATCTTCTCCTTATAAGAATTTGAATCAATTAGAGCAGACAAAAAGTCAATGATTAAAAAAATAAGAGACTCAATTACATTTTGACACCTGGTTTCTGTTTTATTAAATGAACATTGTGCAGCATAAAATAAAGTAGTTTTCATGTGAAAAACTCAGTGCCATTAATACATTAACTGCTGTGCAACTAACACCTCTGCCTAATTCCAAGCAATTTTTGTCACCTGAAAAAAGAAAGTTTCACTCATTAAGTCCTTTTTCCCCATTATTCTTTCCCTGAAGTCATAATAATCACCAGTGTGCTTTCTTTCTGCATGAATTTACTCATTTGTATATTTTCTTATGAATGGAAAATGCAACATGTGACATTTTGTTTCTGACTTCTGTCTTATAACATCTTCAGCTTCATCCACATTGTAGCATGTATCTGCATTTTATTCCTTTCTGTGGTTTAATAATATTACATATATGTGCATACCACATTTATTTTTTCCATTTATTCACTGATGGATTTTTGGGTTGTTTCTACTTCTTTTGCTTTTGTGACTAGTGCTACTACAAGCAGTCATGTGCAAAACATAAATTGCTTGAGTACCTGTTACCAATTTTATCTCTGGAGTTGAGAAAACACTGAGGTTTGAGCACACGATGCCAAAGTCTGCTTTTGCTTCTAAGACAAGTAGCAAATTTGAGAAATTCCTCAACCCTATTCTTCAGTTCACTAATTTTCTATAAGGCTCAAGCATTTATGCATTGAGAACTATAATACATGTACACACAGTTAATATCCAGGCAGGGACACAGATCCATCACATAGAGAATACACACATAGGAAAGTCTAGGATGTTTCTTAAAAGAAAGCTTTCTAAATTTTGTTCTAGAGGTGGGGTGGGGGAAGGAAGTATGCAGAGAGTATGATCTGTGCCTGTTAAGTTGGTTCAGGTTTTGTATCTATTGTTCTATATGCATTTCAGTTAATATGCTGGGTATTAAAGGATAAGTCCTAATGCCCAAAATATGGTAGTAGTAGAGAATAATCCTTACATAAATGTCCTTTTGTTAGTTTTTAGGAAGAGTCACCTTTATTAATCTATGTCTTGGAGCCAGTGTCTTCTTGAAGTTATTTCCTGCAGGGAGGCTTCTTTGTTAATATCTCCACATCTAGAAGATGAATCTTAGTTGCACAATATTACTATTCATTAGTGAAATGCAAATCAGAACTGCTGTAAGATATTCATTTACTACAATTAAACTGGCCATTATCTGTAAATTAAGATCACCAAATCACTGCATTTTGTTTCAAAGCATATATAACCCAGTATATAACCAAGAAGCCACTGGGAGAGTAGAGTATGAAGATTTTTACACCAGACCAATTCAAAGGAACTAAATATGCAGAAACTTTGATTATTCTGAAAACATCTGCAATTGATAAACAGTGATCATCTAAGGAATTTTGAACCTATAAACTCACCATTTGCCTCCTTCTATCATGATTAATGCAAAACAAATTGCACGGTGGAGGTTTATGCCACTATGATTCAGCTCTCTTCCTTTCTCTTTCAGAATTTATTTTAGAGGTACTAGGCCCTGTGTCTCCTGCCATTATAATTCCTTATAAGACATGAAATAAATGCCTTCTACTTTAGCCTGGGCTTTTGCTTCACTTCTGGTTTGTTGCAATATCAAAAGGCAAAACAAAACAAAGAAACAAATGCTGGCAAAGGTTAAGAAAGGAGAACCTTCATATATTGTTGGTGGGAATATAAATTAGTATAGCCAGTGTGGAAAATAATATGACGGTTTTAAGAAAAACCTAGAAATTGAAATTACATATGACATAGAATTCCTATTACTTGGTCCTATCGTAAGGAAAGATAATCAGTATGCTGAGACGTATCTTTACTCCTGTGTTTGTTGCAACACTATTCACAATAGCCAAGATAAGGAATGAACCTAATTGCCAACCAACTAATGAACAGACAAATAAAACATGGTTTGTGTGCACGTTCAATATTATT